CTGCTTCTGAAGTACTAGTGTTGTAGTAAAGGATTTGAGGATATCTCACATTAAATTTAGATGATGAACTTTGAATTATAACATGCTCCCTGTTGGGCAAGATAGGAGCAGAGAAAATGAAGGGTGGGGGCTGGTGGGACAGACCGGGGCCAGCACTCGACAAGGACGTACCTGGTGAAGTGAGGCACCCAACCCCAAACCCTACTGCAGAGTGAGATTTGAGGGGAGACTATATTTTATGTCCTGATCAGTTATTAGATTTCCATTTCTGATAACAGGGAATGCTGAAGTCAGAAATTTTTAAATTCTGACTTTCCAGAACCATCCTAAAGTTGATTCTCCGCAACAGTTCATATTTTTACAGCCCCTTGCAGCCCCAGGCTCAAAGTGCCCCATATCATTTTTGAGTAGAAGAAACTAAAGATCTGAAAAACCAAACTCATATGGAAAGCGAGAGTCAGATCCTGAAAACCAACCTTGCTTTATGACCACGTGCTCCCTCCTCTTTCCAAACCTATGCAGCTTTATATTTCCGAAGGTTTGCTTTTGACTCACGTTGCCTGCGTGCCTTCCTATCATCCGTAAGTCATGTGGGAAACAGGTGTTTGGCACTCTCTCCCTGCAGCCTCTCACCTGGGCCCAGGCTCACATGGCAGGACTCGGAGGGCCCTAATCATAAGGAATCTATGTGATGACACTCAGAACCCTAGAAGCAAGAAAAGCATATTTGGGGCACCAATGTTTCTTATGGGACACCTATCTGGCCAGTTTTTCTTTCATTAACGGAATCAACAATGGATGAGACATCCAAACCACTGGATGAGCCCGAAGGTGAACTGAATGTGCTCTGAAATGTGCTCATCTCCAGTTTCCACTCATTCTCTCTGGGCCATCTCGTCCTAAGATAAGCACGACAATTACCCAGCAGTGGCGATGGCACTGAGGGGTGGGTGGGTGTTCTTCTGCCTCAGAGTGGTGGGAAAGTAAAGGCTGCAAGGTAGGCTGGAAATGTGTTTGGATGATTCAGGGATGCATTGAGACCAAAATCCTCGGCACGTGATGGTGACTCGATTGCACTTTACCGGGTATCAGTGGCCGGGAGCTTTCCTCTCACGCTCAGGCCTTGTCTTCATAGAGAGTGAATTTCTGCTGCTGGTTGTTTCAGGGGAAGTTTGAGTAAAAAGCCCTTTGTTATGAGGAGGGAGGCTCTTAGAGGAGTCTGCAATGCCCCTGTCAAGGGTTGCTCAGTGGACAAGACCTTGAAAGCCAGGCACAGAAAGCAAGGCAAGCCGGCCATTCCCTCAGCCTCGTCCCTGCTGAGGATCCTCTTAATTTACAAACCTGTGGCCCCAGTTCTTCCAGCCACTTTCATATCTTTGCAAGTTCATGGATACTGGGGGAAAAGGCATGTTATCATCCTAACCCGCCCAGCATGGCCAACCTGATCATGGGCAAAGCAAAGAGCAGAAGAACTGTTCTCTTCATTCCATCCTGTGCTTGGGCAACCACGTAGATGAGCAGCATTCACTGTGTGAAGCTGAAGGGTAGGACCTCCGTGGTGTTGTGTGAAAAGAACCAGAGATTTCGTTAAAAGAAAGACCAGCTCCCATGACACTGTTCAGAGTATACTAGGTAAGAGTGCTCTGAAGCTGAACTGCCGAGGTTTGAATCCCAGCTCTGGCACTTACTAGCTGTGTGATCTTGTGAAAGTCACTCAACTTCTCTGTGCCTGTTTCCTCATCTGTAAAAGGAGGATATTAGTCATAATATCTACCTTATAGGACTGTTTGGAGGATTAAATGAGTTAAAAGAGCTTAGAGCAGTACCTGGTACTTAGCAAGGATCACATAAAAGTTGTTTAAAAAGTTCTGTGTGCAATAGCATATACACCGTGGGTATATTCACTCAGCACTGTTTGCTTCATGTCAAAACAACTGAAAAGCCACCAGGCTGTTCTATACTTGCAAAGAATATAGTCCACGCTCAGTAGGATCAAAAAGCATCATTTTGAAATCTAATGGTACTAGTGAAACTGCTGTTAAGCCACTTAGCATTAAGATGTTTTTCCAGGGAGACCGGGCTTCCATTGTGCTTGTGACACGTTTGCTGTCCTTTCCAATATCCCTTCTCATTGAGTGGACTCAGTAGGATCAGAAAGCATCATTTTGAAATCTAATGGTACTAGTGAAACTGCTGTTAAGCCACTTAGCATTAAGATGTTTTTCCAGGGAGACTGGGCTTCCATTGTGCTTGTGACACGTTTGCTGTCCTTTCCAATATCCCTTCTCATTGAGTGGGTCCTAGGCTCATCCAAATCACCCAGCAAAGGACAATCTTCAATAATGTTTGTTGTGTGGGTTAAGCCTTTTCCTAGACAGGAGCAATAAAAACAATGGAAAGAACAATGGAAACAGAGGGGAGCAAAGCCACTGCCTTGTTTCCCTTCCTGTCCCTTGTTGGGCTAAAAAGAAATCCTGGGGCAACTCTGGGAGCTTTTGTGGACTCCAGGGCTGCTCTGTCTGGACTTGGACTCAGGTGGTCTGTTGACGCCCATGGTCATCGCCACAAGGTGCTCTTGTACCCTAGAGGCCCCAGGAGTGCCTACCAGTTTTTAGAGACTCCCAACTATCTCAACCCTGGCCAGACTTCCCAAAGATGCCCACCATTTCTCCCCTGATCTGTGCAGGACTCAGGGCGCTGGATTTGGGTTCTAAATAGAAACCCATGGCCCCCATCCTGCCCAGGGCACACTAGCAAAGCCTGTGGGCCACCAAACAGGCCCCGAGGACACAGAGCAGCCTCTCACCCTGCTCACAGCAAAGCGCAATGAGCCTTCCACCACGTCTCCAGCACATCCCCAGCCCTTCTCAGCATGAGCTGAATGCTACATCTCACCAATTGGTCAATATGTCCTGTCTACAGAATTGACCGCGTGTGATTTGGGGGTGTGGAAGCTGCAGAGAAAGACGGGTGGGAAGGGGAAAACAACTTGAGTCAAACATCAGGGATTTACGTATAAAGGACACGACGCCCTTCTCTTCTATGCACCGCGGGGCTTCTTGCTGCTCTTGCCCAAAGGCTCCAGGAACAAATGGGCACCGCGACTACACAGCACTAGAAAGGCCTTTCTTTATGTAGTGCTGACCTCTAGAGGATCCCAATTAAAAAGCATCCCTGAGAACCAACTTCATTTTACTTGCTGGTTCTACCTCCACATTGTTATTGTTACTTCCCTAGAAAACAAGGAGAAAATATCTCTGCTACTTTAAATGCTCCCTAATAGGAAATGCCCACCTTGTTCTTTGGCTGCCCAATTACGACTTGTCCAAATATTTATAAATGCAACTGTTTTCTACTCCACAAAGGGGAAAAGATGGGTCAGAGACAGCAAAAGTATTTCAGACTTTTGCCTACTGCGGGACTAAAAAGAGAAGCCCAGCACCAGCTACTTCAGGATGTGAGTTTCCAAAGCACCAGATGGCCAGGCCTGCCAATTAGGGGATGGAATGTTCGTTCACCCCAATTCATCAGTGCACTGGGTAAAACTATCTGCCAGACACTCCTGCACACACACAGCAAGTCCACTGGGTACAGCCTGGTGCAGGGTCCAGACACTTGGCAGTCAGTTTTGCTTTGTTTATTCCATTGCACTTTGACCCATACATGTGCACACAAACACTGGAGACAACGTGGTATCCTACCTGGCCCGACTTTATTACAGAAATGAGGCTTATTTCTAATGGAAAACAAAACCATTTATTACGTCCTTAAGCAAAACCCCCAAATCCTTCTATTCTGTTGTAGCTTCTGATTCCTTATTTTTTATCACAAAAAAGGGAAGTATAGGAAGGCGAGAAAAAGCACTCAGGGATGTTGGCATTTAAGCTAATATACATCCACGATATCAGCTGTGGTCTTCATTTCTAAACGGGATCCTACGGGAGATGGGTTCGAAATCAGAGAAGTCCAGTTTTGCTCATGCTGCTTGCGCAGCCCTGGTCTTGTTCTGTGCTTCCCACCCTCCTACCAACTCCAGTAGCCAAGACAAGCTAGGTGCTCACAATGCTAGTGCCCAAAGAGAACTCGAAAATGAGTCCCCCACTCTTATTTCTACAGATGAGAAAACAAAGACTGGGGGGAGGGAGCAGAGGGGACATGCTTAGGGTCACTCAGTTGGTCAGGGACAAGTTGGGGCTAGAACCTTTTCCCCTTGGCAAACTGATTTCAGAATGACTAACTGCAAAGGGGAAATGTGGGTATTCCTAACCCCAGTCCCCGCACTTAGATAAAGGGGCCAATCTGCATCTTATAAAACACGTCTGTGCCAGCGATCAAATAACAGCAGCAAAGGAATTCCCCCTAAGCAAGGCCCTGTGTGCGTCGCGCTGCCCCTGCAGTCAGAGTCTCAGAGCAGTGAGGTCTGGAATGCTTCCACACAGCCCAGCACTTGAGTAGTCTCGGACACCAGCCTCGTTAAAAACTAAGAGCCATGAATTAAGTTATCTAAAACACTCGCACAAGCCTCTGGGCTGTGCCCATGAAGCCAATCTCCAATCTAATTCAACAATCTTATGGAGACCCATTCAGTTGGAGAAAGAAACTTGCTATTAATCAAATAATGGAACTTACCACCAGCTTCCAGATCTATTATTTAAAAGATTTCTAATTGGTGCCAAGAGGCTAGGGAAAAAAGGGGTTCTCACATACACACTATTAATTCAAAGAAAGAGTGGGAAATTGCTAAATACCAGCTACAGCATCTGAGTAGATATGTTAATGTCCCCAAACACACAAATTATTAACCTTTGACTTGATCTCAGTGTTTTATGTCACTGCCTCCTCCTCCTCTTCCCCCCAGCCATGGCCCCACCTGCTCACCCTCCCCACAAAGCCAGCTGATGGTCCTTATTCCCTGTTCCTTGTGTATAAATCACATTAGGTGTCCCTTGGGACCAAGCGCTGTGGAGGGAGTAAAAAAGAGAGGCAGACACCACCAGGGTCTGGAAGGCTCTTTAATAGCAAGCGACTGGTAATTACATCGTGGGAGGAGCCCCTTGCTCTCAGGGGAGGAGGAGGGAGCTGTGGACAGGGTTCCACACAGGGTTCACACTGTTTGAAGCATCTAACCAAGGGCAACAATTTTTGGCAACCCATGTCACAGTTTTGTAATTTACAAGAGATTTCTTTGAAAGGAAATATGAAGGCAAAGAAAGTACATATACTCTACGTGAAACATTTCTTGCCTTAAAAAACCCCAAGAACTGTGGCTTGCTTTTGCTAAATTTTGCTCTCATACACAAATTAAGACTGGACCTCAGCTAGTTCAGACTCATCCTGGAACTGAAGCTTTCCTTCCTCGTCTTCCAAGCTGACAGATGTCTGCCCTGCATCTTCACCTGCCGAGATTAGACATCGGAAGGAGCCTACTAACAAGCGAATCTTGAGAAAAAAACAAAAGAAAAAAACAGGAAAAGGCAGTTTACAAAGCACAGACTGTCACCTTTCTCTCTGGTACCAAACAACTTGCATACAGTTCCAAGCAAATTCAAGGTTTATTTTTATGTGGCTGGGCACATGCTTTTAACTGCTTGTGCCTAGTCAGCCTTACAGTGCTTTACGTGGGGTTTCTAATGTGAAATGCTCATGGGTACTGGGTTTTGTAATCCAAATTTAAATAAAAACATAAAGGACAACACATCATTTAACAATGTGCCCAATGAGCAGGAGCTATAGATAGTTTACCACAGACTCCACGTTGCCATGGACACCACAGGCTACTGGTATTCTGGCAAGTTTTAGAATGACTCTGTGTAAAATCTAAAAGGCTTCAGCTTTTTATAACATACCTATTACCACAAAACCAGTATAACTGATTGGGTCTTTACGAAAGAGGATTATTTTTTAATTCAAAAAAACGTTAGGCTTCTCTGAAGACTAAGCAATCAGCAATGGTATGTCTTTGGAGTGAACACCCATGATATGGAAGAGGGATCTGTGATCCACGTGTTTTAATTGTGCTCTTTCTACAACCCTGAAGCACAGTGGAGTTAAGAGGGCCCTGCCCTGTGGCCTGTGCCACCAGCAAGTCCCACATTTGGTTCACGTTCTGCCTGCCAGGTGATTGGGGCCCCTCTCGAATTTGTTAGCACTAGAGAAGGACAGGCTTCTCTGGCTGGTGGCTGGTTTTCTCGAGGCAAAGAACACCAGATTTGCAGGACACCTGCTGTGTCCTTGGCTGGGGGGCATTTTTAAAGTGGCAAAGCCATCACCAACACAAGGCCTTGCCTCTCAACACAAAGTCGGCCTCATTTAGGAAAGCAGGCCCCTAGTTAGAGCCATGAAAACAGTTTTCCTGTGCCTCATGAGATTGGCTTTTTTTTTTTTTCAAAAAGGCTCAGACCCTGGGCCGGCCCGGTGGCGCACTGGAGAGTGCGCTGCTTGGGAGCGTGGCGCTCCCACCGAGGGTTCGTATCCCATGTGGAGACCGGTTCCCGCTCACTGGCTGAGCCTGGTGCGGGCGCAACACCGAGGGTGCCAGCAAGACCCACATTTGGTTCACGTTCTGCCTGCCAGGTGATTGGGGCCCCTCTCAAATTTGTTAGCACTAAAGAAGGACAGGCTTCTCTGGCTGGTGGCTGGTTTTCTCGAGGAAAAGAACACCAGATTTGCAGGAACCTGTTGTGTCCTTGGCTAGGGGGCATTTTTAAAGTGGCAAAGCCATCACCAACACAAGGCCTTGCCTCTCAACACAAAGTCGGCCTCATTTAGGAAAGCAGGCCCCTAGTGAGAGCCATGAAAACAGTTTTCCTGTGCCTCATGAGATTGGCTTTTTTTTTTTTTTAAAAGACTCAGACCCTAACTGTCCTATTCTCCCTTATTCATCTCCTCCCACCCCAAATTGAGTCCTGCCTATTCCTTTATGCCTCTCACTGTGGGAAATCAGATTCGCTCATACCATAGTTTCCCAACTTGTGAATTTTAACATGCAAAGCACATTTCTAAAATAGAAATTCCGATGGCGCTCTGAGGTCACAGCTCCCCTAGGTCCACACACTTTGTGCTCTTATGAAACAGAAATAATATTCAGAGGTGTATTGTGCTAAAAAATGGTTTGTTTATACACGAAAAATGAACAGTAGATAACTTTTCACTTAAGTACATGGGATACCTAATTCTTGCACCAGGACACAAGGAGAATCCCTACGTAACAGACTTTCCTGTTCTGGTTGGGGAAAAACAAAATGTTTTGCTGTGGGCTGCTATGGGCCTGGCAGACATGAGTGGACACCTAGTGTAACTGTCTACAGTGGTGACAGGCACTATGTGGGGTTTCACCTCCCTCCCTAGCCCTGAAATTCAGTCTGATTCTCTGAAGCCTGCTTGGTATGATTATCAGGCAGAGGAAAGTCACCAGGTAGCCATAGGAAAAATGTCTGCACGATTCACTCAAACCCAGGATCACTTTGGTAACATTACCACAGGTGTGCTTTCAGATGTCACAGCTAGAGTGCAGTGATTAACAAGCAATCGATGCCCTTCACACACACACGCACACACATGCGCGGGCGCGTGCGCACTCGCACACACTCATCCACTCTCTTTACTTTCACTGTCACTCTCTACTGAATGACACGGCAAAAAAGTAAAAGTCCTCATCTTTCACTCTCTTCCAGCTCTTCTTGCAAATCTCCCCCTCCATTAAGTTAAACATATGCCACTTCCAAAGCCCAAGCCTGTCAGGGCACGACAAAAAGCTGTGCCTTACACGGGCAGAGCATGCACAGATGAGACAAGCCCATGTTTTGGGGCCTCTCCTCTGTGGATCAGAATTTCCCCAGCCCCACAGGGTCGGGCCCTAGGGGGTTTGGACACTCACAGACCAACGTGTTCTAAGGTAGTCCTGAGGCCAGCCCCCTAAGGACAGCATCTTGGCAAGACTCCAAATGTATCTCCTTCTCACGTGCCTAAGTCTCCCTGACTGCTGCTCCTTGTACACACACATCACAAGGCAGGTGCAGGGGACAGTGTCCAAAGCTGGAAGGACAAATACCCCTCGTTTCACAGACAAGTTAGGTGACTTGTCAAGGTCACGCATCAATGGCAGAGTCAGGACTTGTCTCCCCTAATTCCCAGGCTGATGCTCCTCCCACCATACGACCTCTGCCTCCCTGTGTGTGCATATGCTTGTGAAAGGTCAGGAACTTGTTTCACAACGAACCATTTCCATAACAAAGACCACAGGCTGCCTGACTTCCCCGACCAACCAGGTGAAGCTCCACACTGTGCCAGCTCTGAGGCCACAGAGCCCTGTAAGAGCACCCACAGTGCAGGTAGGTGAGTGCATGTGTGTGTGTCTCTGTGTGTGCATGTGTGTGAGCACTGGGAGGGATGTGCACACATCAGAGAAAAGGAAGCCTAGGAGGAAACAATCTGATTTGCTAATACCTTTTGGGGTTTTGCCATGGAAATTAAGTAACGTACAGCAACGTCCTCTATCCCCTACTCCTGGGGCAGAACAAAAATCAGAATTCTTATCAGCCTACTGAATGGCCGAGTCTAACTCAGTTCAATTTTTACAGAGAACATTAACTTAATCTAATACCTTTTGGGGTTTTGCCATGGAAATTAAGTAACGTACAGCAACGTCCTCTATCCCCTACTCCTGGGGCAGAACAAAAATCAGAATTCCTATCAGCCTACTGAATGGCCGAGTCTAACTCAGTTCAATTTTTACAGAGAACATTAACTTAATATTGGAATGTATTTGGACAAAGTCTAAACACTTGATAAAATACATTTCATATTATTGTCCATTCCATTTCCAAACATATGTAAATTTAGATGTTAGCCCGTATGTTTGAAATTCTAGTTTATCTTGGAATGGAGCAAGCTAGTCAAGCTTCTTCATTTCAGCTGCCGTTGTTATTCTTGCAGCCTGTTGTGTTAAAATGGAGGTTACCACGCCTGGGCGGTATCTACATACTGTACCGTTCCGACCACCCTTGCTTGTGAACAGCCAGTTCTAACACAGGCAGGGCCGCAAAGGGCGCAGTGTGCTGACCACAATGAACGAAATGCTAAGTTTTGTTTAGCTAATAGGCTACTCGGAAGGACATTCATTTTACTTGAAATTAACCTTTAATATGTTTTTCCAAGAACAGAAAAAAATGTGGGTACTGAAGCACAGATGGAAACCGCTGTATTATTTCACCCGATGACTTAAAACCGTAGTACACTGTTTTACCACGAGCAGCCGTACTCCTCACAGCAACAATCAATTAACAGAAAATGCTGAGAAAATCAGGTTTACACCAACATGCCTGGAAGATATACAAGACTCCCATAAGTTCTGTGGCTTCTTCTGCTGCTTTTTTAAAATTCAAAACTTTGTCAACCTAACAGGCACATGTGTGCATGTTTAAAACATTCCCACCCAAGATGTTTGCAAAGTGTTGTAAAGGAGGCATTCTGCAGCCTAAGTTATTAGAACCAGAGGTGTGGAAGGGTCCAAGAAAAGGAATGTTTCCAATAATTCTATGTTAGCATTACAAAGGATTTCCCCAGTAAGTATGTGTTGGCTAAATGATGACAGCAGTATTTCCAGTTGTTACAGAAGTTGTTTCTGTGAGTTGTCTGAGTATCTTGATCATTAAAACATGCCCTTTTTAAGTAAGCTAACCCACGATTAAAAGATCCCTACTTCCATGTCATTTTAAAAATTCACTGCAATTAGGTCCCTTGAAGTACTTGATTATAATTTTTAATAAATTACATAATGGCATCTTTTTGACTTTTTTTTTTAAAGAATAGAAGATTAAGAAAGTAAAGAAGGATTCTATTATATTTTTAAAAAAACATTTTATACTGGTTTATTTTCCTATCAAATTTATCTATGGCTTCAAAGTTCAAGTGGCACTTGGATTCTGGATATTTTCATGATTTAACAAGTTGCCATTTCATTCTAAAGAGAGAAGGTAAATGTTTCATTTCATATGTGGGATGGTTTATAAACATTTTAAAGAAATCAATAATTTATGCCTTTTACCCCATTTATATTTTCCACCATTAGACTTTAAAGTGGCTTTGGAATCAGCATGTTTTGAAACAACTGAACAAGCATGTAACATTCCCACCTGACCATGACCACTGGTCATGAGCACAGGCGCTACAAGCCCCGCTAACTTGGAAAGGGCAAAACACTTACAGGCTTCTCAGCCTCTCTGACCCTCTTAATCTAAAGCTGAGTGATTATCCTTTTCTGCCCTTGTATTTGCAATTGTGCAGTTGAATGACTAGATATTAAAACTCATGCTTTATAAGCAAAACTTTCACTTGCGGACACTCAAAAGGTACACGACAAGAGCAGACTGCGTTTCTTCTCTGCCACGTGTTCCCTCATAAGGTCACCTGTGAGGACTCAAAACATATCCTTAAGACGTTCAGAGTTCCCTACATTTGAGTCAGCGAATGCTAATTCTCCAACAGAAACTCAAGAGAGAACAGTCAGCCACAAAATGGACTCTAAATTCAAAATGGCACAGGCTACCAAGACAACTCCATAGAAACCCCACTGATACAGGACTGAAAGTCAGGTCGCTTCTGAGCAAGGCTCATCACAGGTATCTTGTAGTCGTTAAAAGGGTATTTCATTTTAATTTCGATGCTTGGGAACCAGACGTCCTGTTTCGAAGTGCTAATGCGACATGCTAACCCAGGAGCAGGCCACCCCCTTCCGGGGTACTGTGGGGCTCACTCTTCTCCGGCTGGAGCCCTGGAGGTTCACTGCTGACTGACCCCCATTTGGGGGTGGTCTGCCTCCGGCTCCTCCTCTTCCACATCCGCACTGTACTCTTCAAACGCATCGTCATCTGCGTCTGGAAGCCCCAGCAGCTGCAAGTAGAGAACAAAAGAGAATCAGCTGCAAGTGCCAAACGCACCCAAGGTGTCCGATCCAAATTAAACAGCACTTAGGACTCAACACAGCAGCTATGGACTTGCTATGAGTCAACTACCCCTACAATTATTTTTTATAAACTTACTAGACAGAAATGTCAATCCTTCAATGGATTAGTGTCCAAAGGTCTACATGTTATTGAGGAGTCCAGAGTCTCTATTTTTAAGTATTAAAACATGGCCCACCTGCCACATATGCAGAGGTATAGTACCTAGGCGCATGTGCGCACATCTGAGACATGAACAGTTGTACAAGATGAACAGTGCTGACTGTCCCATCAAGATGTCACAACTCTATTTCCTATTCTATTTTCTCCCCTAAAGACACATGCTGCTATTATTTATAAAACATTTGCAAAAATGTGGAGACAGCGAAAATGTGGTGACAGCAAAATGGTTTAAAAAATTATGGTGTATCAGTAAGATGGAATCTCATTATCCACATAAAATGGCATTTTTTGGAATAATTTAATGATATACAAAATATGCACGTAAGTGTAAAAAGAGCATGATAAAACTGCATTTTAATTACAATACAGATTTTCTTAAAATGTATACATATAGGCATAGAAAAAAGACTTCAGTGAAATACATTTAAATTTTAAGGTTTTTTTTTTTAGACTGGGATTATGGGTCATTTTTTCCTTTTTATCTTTCTGTATGTTACAAATGCGCTATAATTATTAGCAGGGAAATTCACGGTAAATTCACAATAAACATTTTTTTTTAAAGCTCTGGCTGTTCTTTGGTCAGAGACTGAGTGCCATTTGCTAGGCCCAAGCACTATGGATGACAAGCTCTTGGGCTGGCAGCAAGGCACCTCTTTGGCGCTCATGGGCTGCTGTGATACCTGGGCTTCCATCTCATAGCTCCTCAATGACAGCTCCAGTCTGTGTGTGGCCAAAGGGCTATTTTTATATAGGGACCCCTGCACTGACCACATTCAGGCAACTTCACTGAGTGGCCCTAATGACCCAAACACTAACTGCATTTAGACACTAAAAATAAGACTGACCACTCTGTCTACTTGGAACCCTAGCATCCTGCCACCCCTTGCTCCCGCCTACTCACACAGAGAAAGGATAAGCAGACTCCTGATCAAAATGACACCTCTACCCTGAAGTTCTCAACCCGTGACTCTCACAGGTCTCACCAAACCCTATGACCACACTCAGGACAGAGCCATCTGCCAGGCATTACTGGTGACATAATGCATGTGGCCTGCCAAGTGTATACGGCCGACTGCTTCCCCTCAGAGCTTGGTAGGTGGCAGCTGTCTCGAGAGCCGCTGTTGACTTGGAGGGGAGGGGCAGGGAGCGTGCATCCCACTTGTTGGGATATGGTGCACCAATCTTGTGTGCACTTGGGAGACAGGAGCAGCCTCTGTTAACTTACTGCTGTCTCCCTTCTAGACTTTAGTGGATGGAGTGAAAGAAAAGTTTGCCACTGGAGTGAGAGAAAAGATGGCTGGTCACAGAGTACACAGAAGAGTGCTACTTTGGTGGTCAAATTTTATTTGAAGGGCTGCTCAATGACACAGCAAGGCAAAAGTGTCACATCAATGGTAACATTTAAATATCTGGCAAAATATAAATATAGTTGCCACCACCAGGAACTCCAAGATCACACAGACACCAAAAGAAGATGCAGAAATTCCAGTGAATGTAACTGTTCATTTCACTGGTGGGATACTGCTAAAAGAGGAATGGCCTATGGGTTCCCTCTCACTTAACAGATGTGACTGGTAGCGGCTGCCTGGAGTCCCAGGTTCAGGAGGATTCTCAGGCCCAGTGGGAATATCCTAGTCAATTAGCAATGGCTGTCAGGGATAATGAGGATGCGGCTGAGGCACGTATCTATACATCACCATCCTTGTCCTGAAGAGGCGTGCCACCAACAACTCTTCTTCAAAATCCACCTAGGTGATCCACACTGACCCAAACCATGGGTAGCACTCAGCACCCTCCCGCTCCCTTCAGCTTAGGGTGTCTTGTTGAGGGCAGGCACGAAGCCATCACACCTTCTCCCCTCTCCTCTTCCTAGCTCCCTGCCGTCCCTCAGAGCTGAATCCACCGCACACACCGGGGCTCCAGTCAGTGGCTCTGCCAAGCCACTGCCTTTGTGGGCCTCGGCTTCCTTCTCTGTGCAGGAGGAGCCGCGACCCTGCTCGCCTCACAGAGGAACTACGGAGACTAACCGAGAAAGTGAAGGTGGCCACAGTCTGCAAACTGCTGGCCTCAACATGCGCGTGTCTAGTCACGGGGTCCTGCTTCTCGTCCTCACTCAGCGGAGTCACTGCTGCCGCAGGACAGTGCCCCAGCCCACCCGCCCCGTCCGCCCCACTGGGAGACAGCAGTGGACGAAGTAAGAAGAGGAAAAAAACAATCTGTTGGTCTCCTCCTGTGATTCCCAGGCTTGCATTCAGTATTCCATGGAACCAAACAATTTCATACCTCAGACTTAATAATAATAGTTAATAATATCAACTTACTATCTGCCAGGCACTGACTTCAGCAGCTGTACAAATACGAACTCCTTTGGTCCTCATAATAACCCTCTGGGGTAAGTACTACTATTATCCCCTTTACAGATGAGACCTAAAGAGGCTGAGTAACTTGCTCTGAGTTACCCAGTGAGCGGCAGAGCCAGGATTCAAACCCAGGTGATCTGACTGAGGCCTTCCCATGCTAACCCCCAGCCTACCCAGGATGGACATTCCCATCCAGCTGTCAGTGCTGCTACTTTTAGCTGGAGGTTCCAGTGTTTTCTAGTGGGGAATACTCCTTTTAAAAAACACAATATGCAAGGTTAATGTCTACATTTATGAGTGTTGGGGAGG